CAGGAACGTTTTCTCCCCCCTCCCCCCCCCCCCTCTCTCAGGTCATCAGAAAAAGTCCCCGCGCCGTCTCATTGGTTTGGTCGGCAATTCCTCTACAGTGTGCACACGCGATCCCCTCCCGCGTCAGCATCCACGACTCCCCTTTTCTCCGCGCCTACCGACCACTGGCGCAGTGGCAAAAGGGAAGAGCCGGACGCGGCCCAACCGCAACCGCACCGCCCGAACGACTTGGAAGACGGCTGTGAGGCCTAGCAACCCCCGTTGCTTGCCATCATCCTCTGGTGCAAAATGCATGCCACCCTCCCGGCGAGAACGTGCTCCGCGAAGCCCCTTCGCGGTCACGCCGGGAGTCTTTGGGACCACCGACGGAAGTCAAGGGTTCCGGCGGCAAAACCAGCACCAGCACCAGCAGCTCAGCCCCAAGCCCGCGCCCGCTCAGCAGTGATCACTTTCAGAAATAATCTGCCTAGGCCCCCCTTCTGATCGATTTTTTGAAAGCTCCTAGGCCTCCCTTCATCTGATCGATATTCAGAAAGCTCCTAGGCCCTTCATCTCCTCCATGAAGCTGTCATACTCCTGGTTGACACCGGCCTTTTTCTCCCCGCCGCCACCGCCGCCGGCTCCTCCGCTCCGGGCGGCCGTCGCCGCCGCCGTCGCCGCCGCTCCCGCCGCGGGTTTCGGGGCGGCCGGCTTCAAGAACGTCGCGCCGGAGGGGCGAGGCAACGACGAGGAGGCTGACATCGTTGCGGCCGTCCTGAAAAGAAGAACACACATATAAAACGCACACACGGGGTCCCAGTCAATGGCATTTAGAAGTGTTTTTGTGTTTTCAACCGCACTGAGATTGACGTCATTTCATTGGTCAGCCGGTTGGCGCGGTAGATGCTAATAATAAAAACACGCACACAGTGCTCACATGGAGCATGTTGAGCGCGTCCGCAATATGGCGCGGAAACGGTGCTGGGGAAAAGGGCAAATACATACCATGGGAGTCAAACGCATGGTCAACATTACTGAGGAAATGCACATAAATACGGAGATGTTCTTTTCGTGAAGTCGTCGTCTGGTTTGCAAGGAAAGTAAAATAGTGTATTTAACAAGAGGCCGGAAGACAAGAGGTTTTTTTTTCTGCTGTCGGCCCGGAATCAAACGGGCAACCAGCAACCAACAGCCTGGCTCCAAATGAAGCGGGCATTCTTTCGGAGTCAAGGACGACAACGACGACGTCAGCAACCGCCACAAACAACAAACAACACCACCAACACACACACACAACACACCTGCCGGCACCAGCACCAGGCCGCGGCCGAGCCCCGCGGGGGGTCAAAAATGCCGCCCCAGCCGGCCGCGTCACCGACACCCCGCCGGCCGCCCGCGCAGCTCGCTGTCACGTTTCCTGTTTTCATCATTAAAAACCTTATGATGCACATCG